GTGAATATAATTTTTTACAAAGTTTTAAAAATTTAGGAGGGGGGGGGGGTGGTAGAACGGACCGGCTGCCCCACCTCCTCCTTGTAACCGCCACTGATTGACTTTTATTGAATAAGAGAGTTACTATCAATCGTATGTTTACAGAGATTAAGCCTACAAATAGGCAATGCAAATTATACAACCATTCGAAGATCGCAAATCCTAATTATACGTATTATAGAGATATGAATAAGAAACTGTTTTTAATTTTACTTATATTATGCCTACTGGTTTCTAAAAAAAATATATAAAGTTGGTGTACATTTCGTAATTCAGTGATGATCTGTTAGCTGTAAAGCATTTGTTATATTGCATTGTAAACGTCAAGATAAAAAAGATTTGCAAATATCATCTGAACTGTATTAACGGATTATTAAACGTTGTAACAAGTCAGATAGGCCTTTGTACAACAAATTGGACCAGTTTATTAGGCCTACTCCAGTAATAAGCGCCCTTTTCAAATGTAGACCTATTATTATCTTATAGTATTTGGTTATGAGCTGAACACATGAGTGACGCTCCTTTCAAATGCGATAACACATTCACAAATAGTTACTATTCGTTTTACATTTAATATTTACATTTTCAATCCCATCAATGAGCAAGTGTTCCTTGTAACTAGTGGTTAAGTAATATTAGAACACTGTACAATGAATACGATTTCTGTGTGTTATAGTAAGTAGTACAGACTGGACAAAAGTTATGTAATTCAAATAGAACAGTCCTATAGCCTGTAGCAAAAATACTAGTGAAACCTCAATATTGCTTAACTTAATTATGATTATAGTTGTGTATAAATTGACGGTGTATGCCTAATATTCATATTCGCAGTCATTGTTTTGTTGGATATAAAATATAATACAAGGGCGGGTTTCTTAAGTGGTGTCAATGCATTTGAGCAGTATAACATTCCTGTTAACTTTAGTATCAATTTCTATCTTTTTATTTATTTGACAATCGCACAGGCCCTGTCCAGGTCTCCCTCTCTAAGATGTACTCGGACCATTAAATAAAAGGCAAAAATACTGCTGGAGCTCTTTATTAAAGCACCTGGCACGTAGCACTATGACCGAACCAATATGTATGTTTAAAATATAAACTGAATTCATGAAAAAGTACGAGTACGGGTTTTTAGTCTACAAGCTTTTTCAATAATTTATAATTACCTATTTAATGATAATATTGTACTTTATGAGCTCGACTTCTAGTATTTATCAGGCCATGTTTAAGTATATCATTTTTGGCACCTAATTATTATTATTATTATTATTATTATTATTATTATTATTAGTATTATTATTATTATTATTAATTATAATAATAATAATAATAATAATTATTATTATTATTATTATTATTATTATTATTATTATTATTATTATTATTTCCCACGCTAAAAGAATATAATACTAATCCTCTCGTTTCCTGATTCACAAATTGTTAAAAATTCACTTTAAATACAGTTAAACACAGCTTTAAGTACAGTTATTGTAAAAATGCCTCAGAAATATAAGCAGTGAAATTTAAATCAGGAAACGACCTGCAAAAATATAGATTTCTGGCGAATCAAGGCATATTAATTTTAAGTGTAATGTGGTATAAATAAAACAACACGATTACAAGTAAAGCTCAGTTTCTATACAACCGTTCACCCTGTCGGGTGAATCAGGGTGAATTGCTAGTCGCCCCGAAAGCAATTGGGAAGGCATCCCTAATCGTCTGCAACGCAGTCGGCAAAGTTGAACCAGATTCAACCTTCCCGACAACTGTCGGCGACTGTCGCCGATGGGTGTCTATAAAACGAAGACCGAAGACCGAAGACCCAAAAACGAAGACCCCTATTTTTTCTCTTTCATTTTGATGATAATACGCCAGGCTGTCACAAAATCAAAATTACGAAGTTTTTTGGGCGTCTGTTTGTGAAATTTTCAAGGGTCTTCGTTTTATAGACACACTTATGGGTGTCTACAAAACGAAGACCCGAAAAACGAAGACCTCCAGTTATTTCTCAATTATCTTATTGAACTTATTGAAAGTATTTCAAAATCATGGCGTATTATCAGCAAAATGAAAGAGAAAAAATAGGGGTCTTCGTTTTTGGGACATATAGACACCCTGTCGCCGATTATGTGAGCGATTGTATGGAAACCGACCGTAGCTAGAAGGCAATTCGTAGGCCTACGAAGTTAATATTATAATTATTCTGAATGGTAATTAAAGATCAATTGTTAAATTAATAAAAATAAATATTAAACCACCATCAACTATTAATCATTTGAATAACGGCACTCTTGTAAAGGAGAATTAAGAGTAAAATAATGATCATGAATAACAAGAATGCTGTAAAAACGTGTCTTGTTTTGCTTGATGGAAACCAAAAATGCAGTTAAAGTTGTGACAGCTTAACATGCATGCTTTTAATAGCTATTTAATGCTAAACCCATTGACTGTCTATATTTTGTATGTGAAATTGGTGCTATATAATTGATATTATGAGCTATAACTAGTGACCAGCTACAGCATGCTTTTAAACACTACCTATATAATGACTTTTAATGCTTAACCCAGCATTAGCAGTTGATATTATCACTATGATTAAATTGCAACTATATCCCATATAAAATAGTTGATGTGCTACAGAAACGATATTGCTATATTCTGTAAAATGGGTGCTAGGCCTATATGACTGCTATTATAAGCTTAAAAGCTGACCAGCTAGATGAATTTAAATATTTAATGCTAGGACAATCCTGCGCTTTAGATATCGAGTTTAAGTTTGCTGCCGCCAGATAATCATGTGGCGTCCGCCAGATAATTACGTGGCGGCCGCCACACAACGGATCTGAAATTTTAATTAACTGGTGGCGCTAACGGGCTTCCTAAGTGGCGGCCGCTAGATAATTATGTGGCGGCTGCCACTTAAAGGTTCTTAAATTTTAATTCACTGGTGGCACTAACGGCTTCCGTAGTTATCATTGATGATGCATGCTGCTGTTATTACTGTTATTATAATAGCCTCTCCTATCATAGCCTGGCGCTGGCCCAGCCAAGCCTATAGCCTAGTTTTGATAGAACTGCTTACGGTGCTCTTTTACTGCGAATGGCATATAGTACTGTAAACATTAATATGAATAATATTCTTTAAAACTATTGTATATTTTACACAGGGTGAAGGCAGGTGAGGAGGGCGACATGAAAATTTCATACAAGTGAATAGATAATAACTGCTGTAGTAGACTCTATAATCGATTAAATAAGAAATTGAAACCTCTAAATTATCATATTTGGAGAGGGATTTCGCCCACTGGAACACTTTTGAAAGATTTTGAGCGACGTCCGATCACGCCCACATTTTTTATCGGGGATATCGGACACTACGCCCTCTCCCAACACCACCCGTGGGAAAATCATGGCGCCACCCTCGATATTACAGTGATTTAAATATTTGTCTGAGTCTAGCACTGTTTGACTCTGATTTTAGCTTTTTATTTTACTATTTTTTTTTAATGTACAGTAATCATATTATGTTATGGCAATATATTTAGTCATTTGTTATACAGATCTGCATAAACAAAATTTAAATCCTAGATTTACAAAAAACATGAAAATGTCACACAATTTGTAATTAAACATCAAGCTAACAATGTACTGTATATTTAATTTTAATATGCCAAATTAATAAAATAATAATACGGTCTAGGCGCAGTATTGTAGGCCTACTTAGATAATGTTTGTTAATAATTACAGTAAATAAGTGTAAAATGTATACCGGGTATTTATTAAACGGACCAGGCCTAATCTAGGGGCTTATATCTGCGAAAAATTGTATAATGTTGATTTTTTTTTTTTCCCTTCGGGGTAGGCAAAAATCATTTGAAAGCATTAAAACAAGCGTAAACCAGCTATATGCCTGCTATAAGTAATATTCAGAACACAACCCAGTCCCAACCTACAATACATTAGAAGCCCTACAATGAATAGGTAATATTTTCATAACGACTCATGAAAGCTTCCAGTGAAAATCAATGCGTTTACGCGGCAGAAAGTGGGAACCTATCCATTTTGTTAGGTTGCGTCATGTAAGAAGTGAAAGCCGCTCTCAAATGAGAGCTTGTTTAGGCCTCTGTTTGTTATTAGATGAACACCTGAGGTGTTCCTTTCAAAAGGCGATAACACATTTACAGGTAGCTAGCATTCGTTTTACCTTTAATATTTATATTCTTAATCTTAATGAACGAGTCAACGTTTCTTCTAAATATTATTTAAGGTATTTATTTCATTGATCTATTTATTAAACGTATTTAGACAGGATAACATAATTATACCAGGGAACAGACTGTTCCCTGATTATATAGACAAAATGGTACCGTTGTTTTATGCAAAGATAAAATATAAACAACAAACAAGAAGGCTGCCTAAAACAATACAATATACAATACATTTATTAATAACAAAACGACTACAAAAACAACACTAAACAGCATTAATATTAACATCATCAGAACATGCACTGTTATGGAATTCATGATTTAGGCACCATTGTTAATTAATATTAATTACCCTAATTAATGGAACATCTAATGTGGTATATCCCATTGGAATGTCCACTGGAAAGGGGTGCTTGTTGGGACCACAAGAGAAGAAAAGCCAAGTAGCTTTTATCTCTCTCTCTTTGTTCCAAGCCATTGTTGAGGGCAGACATATAGAATCTTAAGCTGATGTCTTCGTAAATCCAAATTTATTTTTATAAAGAAGAAACTACTTACCATACTATCAGTGATTTAGGCTTTAATCTGAGGCAGCAATTTTAAATCTATTAAGGCTAGAAGATGTGTTGAGATCATTTTTTTTTTATAGTAAGAGAGTTTTCCATCTTGAATTTTATGCTGCTGCTAATGTTTCATTGCTTTTAACTGACTTTCGGCAAATTGCGTTCGCAAAACTGACTTTCGGCCAACTGGGATTCATTGTTTTTGAGCCTGCAAACTGGCATTCAGCAAACTGTGATTCGGGAAAGTAGTCTCAGTGCTCTCTGTGATTTGCCCATAAATAGGCATAATGATGTCATATCATCACATCCCCATGAATAAAGCACATAGGCCTAATAATAATAGATATGACATTATGATGTCACCAATGGGAAAATAACAGGTATTTGTCACATTGAAACTTGAGTTTAGTTTATGCTTTGAACATTTTTCACTTTTTTGTAACTTTTTAAAAGGAAAACACCCATTAAAGTCTGAAAAATCCGTTTGTTCTTGCTGGGACCGTCTTTGTTGGGGCACAAAAAAAATTTTACAAAATTTAAAACCGAGCCCTGGCCTTTTTTGGAAAATAGGAGGGAACACTTAAAAAATTGACATATAGTCTAAAAACTTTTATAATATTTATATTGTAATTACTTTAGTGGGTGAATTTGTTGGTAAAACCTTAGTTGAAAAGAGTTAAAATGTTTACAAAGATAACCTATTTTGGTTTTTTTTATTTTAATATAATTTACATATAAAATCATTATTTGTATAATTGATATTCTAATTACTGTATGATACCTAACAAATGCTAATTCCCTGGCCTTTTTCGGAAAATAGGAGGGAAATACTTTTTTAACGTATATAGAACAAGTGAAAATCTAGCTAGCTAATAATATTGACACGTTTAAAAGACATACCAATTGTTATATATCTTGTATCTCCAATTACATCTGTTATTTTGGTTCCTCTGGAGCCAAGACTTTTAGGCGCTTTTAAATACCACAAAAAGATACGGATGTCTTTACACATCCTGGGTTTATTCACAGATGACATATGAAGCTGTGCTGCACTATAACATAAAATCAATTATTGATCTTTGTCTAATTCCCATATTTTTTGGGGTCTCAAAAGGGTTCTTTTTTCCGTTTAGCTTTCCCGAATTAGTCTAAAAAAATTTATATAAATATTGTAATTACATTAGTGGGGTGAAGTTCAGTACAATTGGTAAAACCTTAGTTGAAAAGAGTTGAAATATTTACAAAGATAATCTCTTTTCATTTTTTCCTTTAATATAATTTTCATTATCTAATTACCGTATGATACCTAACAAATGTTAATTCGACAAACATTATACAGATTCATAATAATAGTTTTTTTTTCATATTCACAAAAAAAATGGTGAAGTAATAGTATTAAATAATTATTGATCTTGTCTCATAAACTGTTGGAAATTCATCATACTGTATTCTTGGTTTACAAAAGAACGTGTTTCATATGGATTGGGGTAATAATATTTATGGGTCTTCTCCGGAAGTGTGGGCTTCTTCTATTCAACTTCTTGATAAATTGGCTCGTCGTACCGATGTGGGCGATCAGTTGAAGCAGACCGTCCTGTCGCCGTTTCCGAGTTCCCCAGTCCGGTTGGCGTAAAATAATAATCAAGCTTTGGAATATAATTAACGCCTTTGTCTTTTTTCTTCTTACAGTTATAAACAATTGTAAGTAGTAAAATTAACATTATACATCCAATTGTAGCTATGCACAATGTAATAGCTAATGTCAGCGTTTCTTCACCTTTCTTCTTTCTTTCATTTGGAAAAATAGATGCTGAGAAATGTGTTGTAGCTACGACAGAACGCGGCGTTGTTGTGGGATAGGGACCTTTCTTCTTTCTTTCATTTGGAAAAATAGACGCTGAGAAATGTGTTGTAGCTACGACAGAACGCGGCGTTGTTGTGGGATAGGGATGTACAAGAAGTATCAACTGAGCATGACCATCACCTATTGTATTAGAAGCAAAACATTTAATATTTGTTCCATTGTCTTTTGGTTTTGTGTTTAACATTTGCATTGTTTGATTATCAAGATTTAAATGGAGTCTATCAGCATCGATGGCCGGTTCTAATTCCCACCGGAACGATGTTGCCACGGGATTTGCTGTTGAATTGCAAAAGAACAAGATCTCTTGCCCTGGTGCTACGGCCTTTTCATAATTTGATATTAAAACCTGTGGCTTGTATCTTACTTCGATTGGTCCAGTCGAACAACTGCGCCTGTACGTTGAATCTGCTGAGGTGGCTAGTATACAGCTGAAGCTCATCCCATTATGTGCGGCAGTTGCATTAAATTTGTATATTATTTTGTGAATCCCATTTTCACTGTCATCAATACGAATATCTTGGCGTAGGCCTATAACCTTATCATTTGTTGTCCATTGAAGAGTAACGGGAGGGGACGCACGTTCCGATTCACAGCAAAGCTCAATGTAATCACCTTCGTTGTATATTCCATTCCCCTGTGTTTCAGAACATTCAGGATAGGCTTCAGAGGGCAAAAAGTTTACTGTAAGTCTAACATCCCTTGATGAAATAATAGGTTCGAGTGAATCCTCATTTTCAAACACAGCACAGCTATATTGATTATCATCAGTAGACGTTACAGATTTAATCGTCAAATTGTACTCTCCTCTGTCGCGATTTGCATCAATTTGAAAATGCATTGGATGTACATTTACACTTACATTTCCATTTTGCGAGAGTACAACTCTTACTGATTGGATCCATTGAACAATGTAGCCAGGCTCAAGATTTTCAATAGTACAGGTAAATGTTGCATCCTTTCCTCTCAATGCTATTACATCAGATGGCTCCTTAAGGAAACTGGCCGTGCTTTCAGCTGTGCGTAACGACACCATGAGTATAATTAGAAAAGCGAAACAATTTTTTTGTAATTTATACATTTGTTAATGCTGTCTTCGTTTTTGTTTTTTCAATTAAAGCTTCTATTTGTCTTGCAAATATTGGCTGACATCTGTTACAGTACATTTCCATCAACCTTTGTAAATTAATATTGAATTTGTTATTAGAAATTTTATATAAATTAGAAATGAATTATATATTTATGGCTTCGGTAGTATAGAAGCAGTCTTTACCTTAACTATCAGCAGATTTCAGATTAAAATATTATTTTGAAAGTTATATATTTTCACCTTGACATATAATTAAAAGTCATCAATGCAGTCTGCGGATAGCTCTGTCTTGCATGAATTAGTAATATTCCTCGTTAGTCAGCAAACAATTAACGTCTTGAACGACACAAAGCAAATGTCAGCAGTATTACCAACCAGCTTATAATATTGTCAAGAGAGTTTGAATAATTTCTTCGGCACTGGTAATTTACTAAACAGCCTTTACTATTTGCATTTGAAAAACAATGGGTAATGGAGCAAATTTAGTCCATTTGATAATTGATACACCATCATAGAAGTAAAAATCACAGTTTTATAAAATATTCATTGCATTTCAGGTTTCTCTGGTTTTTGGAATAAAATGCTAAAAATACACATAATTTTAATAAGGATTAACTAATTATTAGTTGCTTGAACGTTCCTAGAAAGTCATAATTAACGATATATCATAACAGAATACTTCAATCAGAGTCCTGAAGTTTGCTGAGGCAGTGCAGTCGTTCTTCATGTTGGAGGAACTGATGAAGATTAATTCCGTTAGCGCGTAACAACAAATCGTTGATATGGTAGTTCTGTAGAAGCAGGAAACATTAATTTGATTTTAAAACCGCTGAATTTCAGTAGATTGCTGGACGAAACCCAATTGATGCAGATAAAATTTCTTTTACTTACAAGCAACCAGGAAATGGTTTACACTCCTCCTGATTACACAATGATCCATAAGTGTGTTTCAGTTACTATAACACTATTTGGACCAGGGAACAGTGAATTTCACTGTGATTTGGACTCTTCCATTATTCGCCAATATGTGTACAGTATATAATTATTTGATGTGAGGTTATACTATTACAGCACTGTAATACAAAAGGGCTTCATGCTCCAGTGATTTCAGTATTTCAAGTATAGCACCTGTAAAAGAAAATCAATTAATATACAGTCCGCCCTCCAATTCGAGACTCCTGTAATTCCGAGACCCCTTTAATTCGAGATATCTTTTCTAAATTACCAACTAACCAGCTATCTTTTAACACTGGGCTCACCCTATAATTATGAAACCCCTGTAAGTCGAGACCGAAACCACCTTTATGGAAGTACCAAGTGACAAAATGACCTCCAATTCAAGAGCACATTATTCATATAAATAAATGTTTTTTTTTTAAATAGTGGTGGCCTATGGGTGATTTCAAATACCAAATGTACAGGTCTTAAAGCAGTTTGTTGACCTGAGCATTCTATCACCTTCTTTTAAGAAAATACGCACTGTAGGAAAAACAATAGGTACAGTTCATTTTTTTTTCTCTCTTTTATTGATCATTGTAGCAATGACCATTTACATCTATGATGTACATCTTCATTTATAAAACATTTTAATGAGTTTGATTTTGATGACTTATATATGTATACATAACTTATCGACTCCATATCCATGTTGTATGTAACGCTAGTGTTGCAACAACAATAATTACATGGGCATTTGCTTATCGAACAAGCTATCCACTCAATAAAATAATTAGAAAAAAATGTTTTTATTGAGTGATGATTCCCTAATACTGTACAGTACAATTACGACAACCCACTTGTTACGATTGAAAGATTTAATAAATTTGTCATCATTGTCATCCTCCAGCATCATCTTCGTTCTAAGTATCATTATCATTCTTCGCGGCATATAATTTTTTCTATCGACATATTCATCCAGAAAAATAATGACTATTCTCAATTATCAAGATAAACATCATTCCATATAATTATCATCATCATCATCCTTCTTCATCTTAAAACGTCCTTCTTCATAATTATCATCATTAGTACCATCATCATCATCCATCATTTGAAAGCATTCTTCTTCATAATCATCATCGTCTTCAATAATCATCATCATCATCCATAATCACCATCATCCTAATTTATAATCATCATCATTAGCATCCATTATTATTATCATAAAATCCATTATACTCATTAACTCCCGAAATCATCCTTAGTTAATATCACCATCATATTCTACTTTTCATCACGTACCACCATCGTTTTCTATTATTATACATGGCGTAGATCCCGGGGGATGGGGATATATCCCCCAATATTTGACAAGGGCGGTTCATTGTATCATCATTTCCCCCCCCCCCTCAATATTTCAACTATGTATGGGATAAAATGGAGCTTTACACACTTCAAAAGACTGTCACAGAAATAATTTGCACTGTCTTATGCGCTTACAAAGATGAAAATTAGCATAATGTATTAATG